TAAGGCATTTGACTGAACCAGAAGGTTGATGATTCAAACCCATCACCCACTCCACAGAAGGAAGACCAGCCAATCTACTTCCATAAAGATTTACTGCCTTGGAAACCCAAAGGGGGTCGCTATGAGTCAGAATCGACTAGATGACAATTTTTTTTTTTTAAAGTACATCATGCTGGAATAAAACCTTCAGGAATAAAAATGCATAACCCCACAGTTGTAGATTCCAACTCATAGCAACCCTACAGGACAGAGTAGAACTTCCACATAGGGTTTCCAAGGCTGTAAATCTTTACAGAAGCAGACTGACACATTTCTCTCCCACAGGCTGGCTGGTGGGTTCAAACTACTGCACTTTTGGTTAACAGCCAAGTGCTTTAATTAGTATGCCAACAGAGTTCCTTAACAATGCATAATCAGATGAAAAAAAAATATTAAAGTGGAGTGAGGACAGAGGCATTTGGGTGCCAGGAAAAATATTTCAGAGGTAAGAGTTAGAAGAGACAAAGGTGGTGTGAAATAGCATGAACTGTTGAGGGCTGGAAGCCACTGGCAGTTACAGCAATCTTGGTGTCTTTTAGATAAAACCATGATCTCTGGAGCCAGATCATGTGGATCCAAGCCTTAATTCTATTCCTATTAGTTTATAGGTGTGGGCAAAGCACTTAACCCCTTGTGCCTCAGTTTACTCTTTTATAAATTTGAGATAAGAAAAATAGAATTGCCTGATAATATTGTCAAGATTAAATGTGCTAATTTAGGTAAATGCTTCTTATAACGACTGGCATACCCACCCACTGACACTGAGTCAATTCCCACTCACAGTGGCCCCCTTTGGCTTTCCAAGGCAGTAAATCTTAACAGAAGTAGGTCACACAATCTTTTCCACAGAGCAGCCGGTGGGTTTAAACCACCTGTCTTCTGGTTAGCGGTCAAATGCATTAGGCACTGCTCCACCAGAGCTCCTTCTGGCACATAATAAGCACTCAATAAAAGTTGTTGGTCAGTATTTTTAAGACACAAGAGGAAAAGAGTCAAGTCTGGAGAGCCAATTTTATATTTGAGCACCACACTGACAACTCTCTAACTTTATTCCTAACCTCAATCTCAGTGTCACAAATGGCAACAGAAAGAATTAGGGCTAACAATTTGAGTGGATTTGAAAAATTTCATTACTATGTACCTCTCTGACAATAGCTTAGTGGCATCAGTTTTGCTTATGGAATATATTTATTTATTCTTTGATTTGGAGGTAACAGCTTTGTGCTCCTTGGAATTGTAGAGAATGGCATATTTCCAATAAAAAATAACTGAGTTAAGAACATTGTGTTTCAAATTTACAATGCAATACAGATTTCTTGTTAAAAGGCAAATTATTCACTTCAAATTGTTGACTCAGATAATACTTTTTAAAAATTCAGCTGTTTAAATATAGCATGCTGAGAAAGACCAATCCAAAAATATTGTTGGCTTTACGCCCATAACATTTGCATTTTATTCTCTGTTAGTGTTTGTCTTCTGTGATAAAAAGGCAAGTGACAGTAATCATGTTAGCCTCCATTACATTTCAAATTTCACCTAAATGAACCATTTAGTTTTCATTCTCACTAGTTGAAAATGGCTTTTAACTTCCTGGCAAATTTTCAGAAAATGATTATGCAAGAACTAGTGATATTTCCATGCACTGTTTTACCTCTTTGCCCATAATCTGGGCTTCTTATCCCATTTTCCTTTGAATCATCATTTTCTCTTTAAAAAAAAAATGTCTCTAAAGGAGATTATATGCAGACAAGCTTAATCTATTTTTTTTTTTTTTATAATCAGACTTTGCCACTATTAAAGCGATGTTTTGAGTCTGTGCTTTAACTGTGATTTTAAAAATCTCGACCCAATACACATCCCAATTTTTTTTTCTTTTCTTTTTTTTTAAAGATTCCCTCAGGACACAGAATCTGGGTGAGTTCTTACACTTCCCGCTACTTGATTCCTTTACTTTCCTTTATCTCTCTTGGTTTTTGGAGCTTCTAACTCCTCTCCTCTGATGTAATCATATCATCTTCCTGGCACAGGTGATTCCCAGTTTCATTCTCACTTTTCGTAAAGCCCAAGCAGAACTCTGACATTAGAAACGTGAGTATGCCAAGTGTGGATTTGGAGTCGATTTAAGTTTCTCAGGTAGATACAATCTTGGGTATCACCAGAGCAGGGAATTCTCTCTTGACTGGTTTGATTTCTCAAGCACTCCCCCATTCACTCTCTCCACAAACCAATAAGCTCACCCCATCTGATCCACAGTGTTTTACCATTTTAATAAAAGTGGTCAAGAGCTAGATTAAGAGTTAGAGTTAGTTATACCTAAAAGCTAATCCTAGCTCACCATTTACCAAATATATATTGCTTTAGGAAATGTACTTATTCTCTCTGAGACTGAGGGGGATTGCGAGTGTAATAATGCAGATGTCCTGTCATAAATGAGAAAACATATTCAAGTGCATGACCCATTGCCTGCAATTACTGCACTTGGAATAACTGGCAACTACTCATTCACTGTATGCTAAGCAAATCATATATGTAAACAATCCTGGGAGCTATAAATGAGATGAACATACTTTGTAGTCAATACAGAAGAGTGAACAAGTACATGACACCCTTACCTGGAGTCAGAGTTACAAAAGAGAAAATGCCTCCTCATAGATGAGGCGGGCAATAGGTAGAGGCTTCTTCACAATTTTACCTGTACAGCTTGCTCTAAGCAGACACTGCTAGGCTATAGGTATTCTTATACCTTTCATAAAAAATTCTCTTATAAAAATACTACAAAAATGTCATGCACAAATAAATAGTGCTTTGGTCCTGAGGCCAGCCAGGAGGAGATCCAGGAAACGAAATTTTAAAATGGCATTTCAAGCCTATATATCACATCATAGTCATTATTAGTGGCAGAATTAGATTGGGGGACAATCAACCATCTCTTTGTCTGGTTCGTCTGGCTACAACCCTTCCTTCTTTCAATACTATGCAAAGAAAAGCATGAGTCATAGGATACTTGCTTATAGTTCAGACACTGTCCCAGAATAGTTTACCAATGATTTTAACCTTAAAAGAATTGTTTTCTTTCAAAAATGATTTTGGCAATCATCTTCCCAGACATGACATGATGTTTGTTTACCGGTGGGACAATCAAATATGAAGCATAGGTATTGCCACAGTTCAACTCCCACACCTAAGTTTCTATCTTAAAGAAATTTTGATATCTCCACATCTGTAATAATCAGTCTGATTTCCCTTCTCTTTAGCTAAATACCCAAGGTCAAGCAATGGTCTATTTTAGAGGTGTCAGGGGACTGTATGCAAACTCATTCCAATTACATTCTTAAAGATGTCTCTTTACTGCAGTCTAAACTTTTGAACCATCCTTATATGTGCACTGTTATAAAAATATATCCCCTGGATTATACTGTACTCAGTGATTCACAAAGTCACATGTAGAGGTTATACACAGAGAAATTATGTGTGTGCAGAATAGGTTGCCTATAACAACTTGGGTACTCTGATAATGCTGCAAATATTAACTCAGGCTTCATATGGAGATTCCCCAAGACAAGCAGCAAATTAGGCAAATTTATTCAAGTTACATTCTAAGCATATTTTATTTTTAATATGAAGTTTAAGTGGATTAGAGAAATAATAATACAATTTAAAACTGAATGGTCTTTAGTTTCCTCTTATTAATGACAGAAGATTTCAGAATTATTCTGTACTTCAGATGGTTATTCCATAAGTTTTCATACCTTATTATCCTACAACATTTATGGTAGATTAAGGAAGTATCCAGCTTAAACTCCTGGCTTCTGCTTTTGGTAACCTCTGTTTTTTCATTAATCTTTCTTTGAGGAAAATATAGTAACAATAATTTCTCCAGTGATCCTGCAACTAAGTCTAACATTTTATGTAAGCTATATTCTTTCTGTTTGAGGGATTCTTAGGATTTCCCCCCCGTTAAAAGATATGGTCAGTATGAAAGCGGATCTGGTTAAACATTTTAACATTTTTAGATTAATTCTTTCTGGTTCCCATTCTAGAAAAAAAAATCTTCTCTATTCTGCCAGCATTCCCATGGATTTGGTCATTTGTTTTACAATGAGTTAGCCATGCTATCCTCTTTTTACCTTCTTTTGAAAGTATTGGTTATCTGCAATTTGAGCAACCAGTTGAGGTAGTTTTTTAAAAGTTTTTAAGCCTTTTTTTTTTTTTTTTTTTTTGCCAGAGAACACAAAGCTGCTTGGTTTCTAAGTATAAAGTCTTCTATGTAAAAATCACTATTTTCAAATCACGAGGAAGAAACTACAGAGCAAGCGGAGATTATTGCTATAGAAAGAAACTGAGGGAGCCCTCCATGTCCCACCCACTAAAGAGTATTTGAATGTTTATCACATCATCAGTGTTGCTTAGGTTGTTGCCTAGCAGTTATCTAGGGACCTGCTTCACATCTTATTTGAATTTAATATGGTAAATCAAAGAAGTGTTTTTTGTTTGTTTGTCTGTGTTGTTTCCTTCTTTGTTTGTTTTACAAATTAGGAATAAATCTGGAATTTGTAACAACTGCGAGCATTTATAAGTCTAAGCCAGCCTCTTTATCAATTTTATTTTTTGAAAAAACAATTATAAAACAAGCTGCCTTCTCACCAGTAACTTTTCAGAGACCACTCGTGCAATGAAATCTAGAACACATTTACCAGTTTGTTCCATAAAATCACAAGGAACAAGGAGCTTTCTGCATGCCTAACTAACAAGAGGTAACCCTGCAAATAACGCGACTAGAGCATTAACTAGGACAGGAGTCAGGGAGATAACCCGATTTAACATTTCATGGAGAATTCAACGATTCGCTCTGGAAAGATAGGCTTTTCTAACTTTCCTCGCCATATCTTCTCAGCTCCCCTTCCCCCACACCACATACCCAGAAGCCACTCAAATTGCCATCCGTGTCGAGTTTAACTTACTGCAGTGTGATGCAGGCGAAGGCTGGGTGCATCTCTGAACCGAGAGCAACTGCTTTTCCGGAGAGGAACTGGGACCAGTCAGCTCAGGATCCCTTCCAATTCACACGCTCGCCGCTCAGTAAGGCTGGCTCACAGCTCGGCTTCCCCAGAGGAGTGGAGAGCTTCAAGAACTCTGCTCATAGCATCTCCTCCTCCCTACTTCCACCCCCTTCCAGAACACACGGCCCATTCTAAATAGTGTTTGAAAGATGGAAATCTACTTCCAGTCAACAACACAGACTGCCTGCAGTCCACCAGTCCCAGATAATTTGCCACTCAAAAACCTCGGAGGCTGAAAGACGGGGGTTTCCGGAGACTGAAAGTCATCTTTGGCAACCCCCTTTACCCACCTCTTACTCCTCCCACTTCACCGCCCCCACCCCTCCACCGCGGCCACCTCCAGTTTCTCACTCAAGCTAGGTATCGCAAATTATTATGTTTTTCTCGATACCAAGAAGCACCAGAAGGAAACTGAATTTGTCAGAAATTAAATACCTGTTGTCCATGACATCAGTCATCTGTCATCTCTCTTAATCCTTGATTTATGTTAAGATGCGTTGATATTGGAAGTGTGTGTGTGTGTGTGTGTGTGTGTGTGGTGAGGGGGAGGCAATCTGCAAGGCTGAAAGCAACAGCCCTGCCTATCTCTGGCTGCAGCTACTACAGCTGCTATTGCTACTATTGCAGTTGGAGCTCAGGGAAAAATGAGACAGGGAGACAGTGCTATTTAACTGCTGGTCCAGTTATGACAGGGGAGGAGACTGTGTAGGTACATGGATAGCAGTTCTTGAGACAGTAAGCTTGAATCGTTGTGATTTCTAACCTTCAGCATATGTATATTCCCCCTCCAACAAGAAACCTGATACTTATCTTCTCTCTCTTCTACTAACTTTAATCCTAGATGGATTATTACTCAGCCACCACCTGCCTAGGCCACTTCTAGAAACTGTAGCAGCTGCACACTCCATTGCTGTTTTCTAAACTAGTAACCTGGAGTCAGGTGACTGGAGGACAGAAGAGGATAAGGTAGGAACGCAAGGCGGAAAGAGGATGAATATTAAAATTTAAACTATGTTTGTGTGTAATCAATGATGGGTGCATGACCCAGGGCATAGCTGAAAATGATCTTTTTGAGCTATGTGTGTAAAATAATTCAGTGGGATAACAAAAAATGTAAGCCTAAGTTGGTCAATAGTCATGTCTATTTCATACAAAACATTCAGAACCAGATAGTTATTAAGGAGTGTGTTTACCAGCTTAGAAGCAGACTATCTTGATATACTTGTCCCTTGGTGGCTCTCAGCTTCCCCACATAATATACACTGTGATCTGAAGGCACTAACCTCTCCTGACAGCTAAAAACTCCGGTATAACCTACTGATGTCGGATGTCCTGTTCTCTCCTTATTGGTTACTTACTGTCTGCCTTCCTTTTTCTCTAGCATACTGTCACATAAAGAAATTTTCAACAGAATTGAAAAGCTAAAGAGGTTCTCATAGTCCCAAAACAAATGATGCTTCTTCTTAATAATATCTTAACATTCTCTTTCAAAAGTTTGTCTTCTCATTCTTGTACTAAAAGAGACTGGGTAAAAATGAATGACCCCTCCTAATTACACAAGCACTCACACATCACTTCACTGAACAGTTCTGTTAATTCACTTTTTCTTTCAGTTTTCTAAGCTAAAATTCAACTTAATTCATTTTTATTTTGTTTGTAATATATAACTTTAATCATATTTGCCTTGCTCAGAGCACTTTTCATATTTGTCAAATGTTTTCCCACTTAAGGCTTTGAAATAAGGGTTGGAAAGATGAACAAGCAGAAAGAAGACACTCCCTGGAAATTTAACAAAGGACCCAGAGGGAGGAAAGGAACCCAAAAGGATTAAATAATGCATCTTATTTTAATAAAGGCAAAATTATTGCCTTTTTCTAAGCAAGGCCTAGTTAATGTGCAGAATATTTATCAATTATCCAATAATATCAATTGTAACAGAAAATATCATAGTTTGATAGTGTGTTATTTTTAAAAAATCATTCAATACCCTAAATGAAAAAAAAAAAAGAATATCCAGAATGTTATAAAATGTCAAAATCACAATAAATAATGATATGAAGTAACCATATATTTTACCATACTGTTATTATTCGGCTTTATTAAAATATTATTATATAAAACACTGGTAGCAATGGTGGTTCACTGGTAGAATTCCCATTTTCCATGAAGGAGAATCAGGTTCAATTCCTGGCCAATGTACCTCAGGTGCAGCACCAACTGTCAGTCAGTTGCTGTGATGCTCAATGAGTTTCTGAGGAGTTTGCAGACTGAGATGGTTAAGGAGGAAAACCTGATGATCCACTTCAAAAATCAGCCAGTGATGATAGAAAAGACAATATCAAGTCAGTAAAACTGGACCATGGTAAATGCTGACACTAAGAAGAACACAAGAATAAGTGACAATTTTGTAAATACTGTAACGCTCATAGTATTTTTTATAATAATAACAAATGAAGAAATATATACACGTGTGTTTACATAGATAGATGGGTATGCATATGTCTTTATAGAAAGTTATATGTGAATATACAAATGTGCATTATAGATGTATCTGTGTTGTTGTTATTGTTAGGTGCTGTCAAGGCGCTCCGACTCATTGTGACCCTATGCACAGCAGAAAGAAACACTGCCCAGCCCTGAACCAGCCTCATGATCCTTGCTGTACCTGAGCCCATCATTGCAGCCACTGTGTCAATCCACTTTGTTGAGGGCCTTCCCCATTCATGCTGACCCTCCACTTTACCAAGCATGCTATCTCTCTCTAGAGAATGGCCCCTTCTGACATGACCAAAGTAGGTGAGACAAAGTCTGGCCATTCTGACTTCCCAGGAGCATTCTCACTGCACATCTCCCACGACAGATTTCTTCATTCTTCTAGCAGTCCATGGTAGTTTCTGTATTCTTCGCCAACACCACTACTCAAAAGCATCAACTCTTCTTTGCTCTTCCTTATTCGTTGTCCAGCTTTCACATGCATATGAGGCAATTGAAAATAACATGGCTTGGGTTAGGCATACCTTAGTCTTCAAAGAAACATCTTCATTCTTCAGCACTTGAAAGAGTGTTTTGCAACAGATTTGCCCAATGCAATATGTCATCTGATTTCTTGATTTTGCTCCCATTGGTGTTTATTGTGGAATGAAGTTATATGTGTAATCCAGACTGTAGTCTTTAATATTCATCAGGAAGAGCTTCAAGTCATCTTCACTTTCAGCAAGCAAGGTCATGTCATCTACATATCACAGGTTCTTAATGAGTCTTCCTCCAATCCTGATACCCTGTTCTTCTTCATATAGTCCAGCTTCTCAGATTATTTGCTCAGTATACAGATTGAATAAGTACGGTGAAAGAATACAACCCTGATGCACTCCCTTCCTGATTTTATGTCAAGCAGTATCCCCTTGTTCTATTTGGACGACAGCTTCCTGTCTATATCTACAGGTTCCTCATGAGCACAATCAAGTATTCTGGAATTCCCATTCTTCTCAATGTTGTCCATAATTTGTTGGGGTCCGCACAATCGAATGCTTTTTTACAGTCAATAAAACACAAGTAAACATCTTTCTGGTATTCTTTGCTTTCAGCTAAAATCCATCTGATATTAGCAATGATATCCCTTGTTTTTATGTCCTCTTTTGAATCCAACTTACATTTCTGGAAGTTCCCTATCAGTGTACTGCTGCAACCATTTATGAACTATCTTCAGCAAAATTTTACTTGTGTGTGATATTAATGATGTTCAATAATTTCCACATTCTGTTGGAACATCTTTCTTTGCAATGGGTCCAAATATGGATCTCTTCCAGTCAATTGGCCAGGTAGCTGTCTTCCAAATTTCTTGGCATAGATGAATAAGTGCCTCCAGCACAGCATCTGTTTGTCGAAACATCTCAATGGGTATTCCACCAATTCCTGGAGCCTTGTTTTTCACCAATTCCTTCGATGTAGTTTCAACTTCTTCCTTCAATATCATTGGCTCTTGATCATATGAGACCTCCTGAAATAGATGAACTTCGATCAATTCTTTTTGGTATAGTGATTCTATGTATTCCTTCCATCTTCTTTTGATGTTTCCTGCATCATTCTATATAAGTTGTTGTTGTTGTTATTTGCCATCGAGTCAGCCCGACTCATAGCGACCCCTCCTTGGGTTTCCGAGGCAGTATCACTACAGAAGTAGGATTGCCCAACCTTCCTTCCGAGGAGTGGCTGGTGGGTTTGAACCACCAGCCTTCTGGTTAGCAGTCAAGTGCTTTAGGCACTATGCTACCAGTTGTTGTTGTTGTTGTTATGTGCCGTGGGAGTCAGCCCGACTCATAGCGACCCCTCCTTGGGTTTCCGAGGCAGTATCACTACAGAAGTAGGATTGCCCAACCTTCCTTCCGAGGAGTGGCTGGTGGGTTTGAACCGCCAGCCTTCTGGTTAGCAGTCAAGTGCCTTAGGCACTATGCTACCAGAGCTCCCATATGTATATACATGGGAGCTCTGATAGCATAGTGTCTAACGCACTTGACTGCTAACCAGAAGGCTCGTGGTTCAAACCCACCAGCCACTCCTCAGAAAGAAGATGGGGCAATCTACTTCCATAGTGATACTGCCTCAGAAACCCAAGGAGGGGTCGCTATGAGTTGGGCCCAACTCGATGGCACATAAAAACAACAACAACATATATATACATATTTATGTGTGCTGCATATATATTTATGTATAAAGTAAAGGATATAGAAGGCACAGTTACTAATACTTACTAGACATAAACAAGTACCTTCTGGGATGGAAATACTGGGTTTGAGGGCTTAGTACCATAATCTCATAGGGCAACTTAGTCAATTGACACAATATGCTTCATAAAAGTGATGTTTTATATCCTAATTTGATGAGTACTGTCTAGGCTCTTTAGAGATTGTGAGAGGCCATCTAAAATACAATTATTGGTCTCTACTTCTCCAGAGCAGAAGAGAAAGAAGAAAACCAAACATTCAAAGGAAAACTGATCCACGGGCTAATTAATGTTATACATGAACCATGGTCTCAGTTACCTTGAAACCATAAATAAATGGTGCTCAGCTACCATTACCAACTGTTCTGACCAGAGACACAATAGTTGGTCCAGGATAGAATGGGAGAAAAACGTAGAACAAAATTATGCTCCTAAAAATAGGCCATACTCACTGGACTGATACAGACTGGAGGAACACTCAACTCCTTTTAAA